CCCCTAGGCTGCTGGCCCTCAATCGGCCCCCGCACCCCAATTGGGGACGGGCCGCCAGCCAATCACCTGTGGCCCTGCCCCACAGCTGGCCTGGTACTGATCAGACCCCATAAAGGTGGACCAGCCGGCCAACTTCCCACTGTCCTCTCCTCCTCCCCACAGGCCCAGCCACAATCCACCCTGATTGGGGCAGGCCCAGACCCCACCCGTGCATGAATTCCTGCACTGGGCCTCTAATTAAATATAATATAAAGAAAAGTAAATTAGATGTGTGGTAGTAGAAACCTCAGTATGGAATTTCAATAGAAAATTTAAGTTGCTTCATACCTCTATATCAAGGAATTTACTACATACTAAGCAAATCTGGATGATAAAAATAATATACTAGGAGATGCATCCTAAACATCAAATATAAAATTAATATATTAACATTTATTACCTTGATTGTAAGTGGAATCTACTGGGTTTCTTTAAAGGAAATCAAAGATACTGATGATATGAAATTCATTATCTCAGGTAAATGTTTGTTAGTGATTTTAAGAGGTCAAAAAAGATTATTAGAGGAAGAGGAAGGACTATGTAAACAATGAATACATTTTCGGCCATTGTTCCTTTATGCACATATTCTTGTTTACTGTCAGGATACCCCTGCCTCCCTTCAATGCCAAGTCCAGGAGGGAGGAAAATTATCTGGTTCATTGATGTTCCAGTTCCAGGCACAAGAATTGACACAGAGCAAGTACTCGATAAATGTTCATTTGAATAAATAAGCATATTTTAAATAAATGATAAATGATTTATAAATGATTTGTTTATTTCTTAAGTAACATATGCTCAGGATAAACAAAATGGAAATTAAGGCATTTCATAAATGGCAGCTTCTTTGTTTAAAAATAGGTCTGGCCCTAGCTGGTTTGGCTCAGTGGAGAGTGTCTGCCTGCGGACCGGGTTCGATTCTGGTCAAGGGCACAAAGTTGGGTTGCAGGCTCAATCCCTAGTAGGGGGCATGCAGGAGGCAGCCGATCAATGATTCTCTCTCATCATTGATATTTCTCTTTCTCTCTTTCTCTCTCCTCTCTCTCTCTCTCTCTCCCCCTCCTCCCTCTCCCTCTCCCTCTCTGAAATCAATAAAAATATACATAAATAAATAAAAATAGGTCTGTAGAACCCTGGCCAGTGTTCTCAGTGGTTAGAGCCTCGGCCCATGCACTGAAGGGTCACAGGTTCAATTCCTAGGGGGCTTGTGTGGAAGATAGTCAATCAATGTGTCTCTCTCACATTGATACCTTTCTCTCTCTTCTCCCCACTCCCTCTCTTCCTCTCTCCCTTTTATCTGCACTATCTAAAAAAAGGCAATGGAAAAATGTCCTTGGATGAGGATTTAAAAAAAAAGAAAAAAACTGGAATAGAGCTGTACCACGATCAGATGTCATGACAGAGAATAATCCCATACTGGTATAAAAAGACTTTAAAAGTGAACTATACATAAAGCACACATAACACAACCCATTCTAAAATTTCTACAATGTAGCATAATATGGCTTTTTAAAAAAAGAAATTCATTACAATAAAACTTTATTAAAGATAAACCATAATAGTCAAAATTTATAAAAAGAATAATCTGAGTTAAAACAAAGCCAAAAATGTGGGTGTTTTATTTATTAGGTATTAAAGCTTTATTAATTGTTTAAAGGAAAGTAAAAAAACATAAATTTGATATTTCGCTTTAAATGAGTATTGTATAATTATTAAAATAGACTATCTACCACTGAGACACATATTAATAAAAGTAATACTATCCAATATATAGCTTCCCATAAATTAAGACGTGTAAAATTTTGATCACATTTTAATATAATATTATACTACTGATACTTTGATAGTGGGTGGTGGGTGTTTTATTAGGAAAAACAACAACTTGATTTTTCATATTTCTGTGATTTAAAATAAGGATCCATTCAGAACACATCATTTACACTTTTCTTATGGTATTTACCATATGATATAGGATACTTTAAGACAGGGACTGTGACATTCACCTTTGTGTACAAAGCAGATACAGCACATTCCAGGCCCAGAAATATTTGATGGCTAAATCACAGAAGAAATTTTCTTTAAAATCTCCCTTATCAGGCCGAAACTGGTTTGGCTCAGTGGATAGAGCATCGGCCTGCGGACTGAAAGGTCCCAGGTTCGATCCCGGTCAAGGGCATGTACCTTGGTTGCGGGCACATCCCCAGTGGGGAGTGTGCAGGAGGCAGCTGGTCAATGTTTCTCTCTCATCGATGTTTCTAACTCTCTATCTCTCTCCTTTCCTCTCTGTAAAAACTCAATAAAATATATTTTTTAAAAAATCTCCCTAATCAGGAACTCCGTCAATCGAAATCAAGTTTCTAGACCCAGAATAGTTACTTTGAGAAAAGGAGAACCAAAAATAGATTTTCAATCAATAGGGGTTCTGCCCTAAACTAAGAGAAAAAGAAAAAAAACTTACAGAACACCTCATTACATGCCATTTGAGCTTATTAAAATACTTTGCAAACTCCAGCTGGTAATCTGTAATTGCTGCTTTATCATGTGATATCCAGTGACATTAAAGTAACATCACCCAGCTCTAGCTGGTTTGGCTCAGTGGATAGAGCGTCAGCCTGCTGATTAAAGGGCATATGCCCAGGTTGCAGGGCTCAGTCCCTAGTAGGGGGTGTGCAAGAGGCAGTCAATCAATGATTCTCTCTCATCATTGATGTTTCTAGTTCTCTCTCCCTCTCCCTTCCTATCTGAAATCAATAAAAATATTTTTTAAAGTAACATCATTCTTCAGAGAAGTAGAAGTGTATCTCATGAGTTATCATCTAAATTCTCAAAAATGCTCAATGAAATTAGGAAAATTTAATTACACAAAAACTAGAGAACTAGGAAAGGAATCTGTTTTACAGAGTCAGAAATGGTATTCCTAAATTCAAATTAACAAACCAAATATTTAGACTTCTTTTGGGTAAGAAATTCTTATTGTTGAATAACCAACTTTGTTTTCTGAACTAGAACATTAAACAGAAATAACAATTTTAACATTATGTTGCTTCCAGCATATTTTATCAATGTATTGCAAGCCAATATTCTACTGCCACCTAAAGTAGAAAAAAAGAATTACTGCTTATAGTTAAGATAATGCTAGACAGAAGACAAATGAATCCTCAAAGTATGACAGAATAAGTCAAATGTTTTCAGTATCTTCTATTCATGTCTCCTAATCTAAACATTTTAAGACCAGATATTTTGCACCCATTTTTTATAATCAAGTTAATTTTTTATTACTTAACATCTGCTGTCCAAAATGTATAAGGGTGAAGTTCATTCTTAAATTAACTCAAGTATCGAAAAGAAACTGCTGAACAGATCATTCTTCACTTATACAGAGAGACCAATAATAGATTTAGAAGTATCTTACATAATAAAATCTTTCAACATTATACAATAAATACAAAAACGCTACTATGAAGATAAGAAAGTTCAACATTAAAAAGCATTCTGGCCCTAGTTGGTTTGGCTCAGTGGATAGAGTGTTGTCCTGAGGACTGAAGGGTCCCGGGTTTGATTTCAGTCAAGGGCACTGACAAGGTTGCAGGCTCCATCCCCAGTAGGGGGCGTAAAGGGGGCAGCCGATCAATGATTCTCATCATTGATCGAATGCATAACCCATAGACACAGACAATAGGTGCTGGAGGCCTGCGGTGGGGAAGCGGGTATGGAGGTGGGCTGGAGGCGGCCAATTGGAGGGAAAAGAGAGGCATATGTAATACTTTCAACAATAAAGAATTATTTAAAAATAAATAACTAAATAATAATAAATAAATAGCCTCTTAAAAAAGGTTTCACCAATGCTCAGTACAAATGTACTAAATTTCTAATACTGAAGAAGAGCATAAAAAAAATCAGGGGCAAGGTGCAGAATATTATGTATTCTATGCTCCCCATTGTGTTTTACAAAGAGAGGAAAAACTGTTGGTGATGGAGTTCAGGACATGCCACCCCAAAATACAGCACTTTGCCATATTGACCACTTTAAGCTGAAGGAGTTTAAAACAGGCAGAGCAGGAAT